TTAGTTAAAGAGCTATCTGTCACGAATTCGGTCTATGACTGCCTGTTTACCACGTCTCTTAAATAAAAGCTTGCAGATGGATCCACACGTCTCACGTCTCGTCAGCCCCGTTACACTATCATTTTTATTATTATTATTATTTCATTATGTCAAACGCTTTAATTAGTTAAATTTTTTGTTTAGTTTTTATTAATTTTAATTGAATGACTTTAATGACAAATGATGCATTGGCAACTAGCTGAAACAAATAATTTTATTTCAAGATTTTTTTTTATGGTTATAGTTTTAGTTAACAATGATAACCTGAGTCTCAGCTGTCTATAAATGAGTCAGAGACTGAGCACACTGTGTTGAAATCTACAGTAAAACTCTAGATGAGGCCCGTGTGAGATTACTGGAGCAAAAGTCTCATCTCTCTACAACTGAGATATTAAAGAGATCTCATGTGTCTCCTCTCTCTCTCTCTCTCTCTCTCTCTCTCTCTCTCAGTTATCTGCCAAGCAGTCCACGTTTTTCCTCAGAAACTCTGCCAACATCGCAGAGAATAAGCCCTCGATTCTCTCTCTCTCTCTCTCTCTCTCTCTCTCTCTCTTTTGTAATGTACTTTTTTTGCTGGCCTCTCCGCCACACTCCGCAGAAACACACACATTTCTAAATAATGCAGACTCCTCTCTCTCTCTCTCTCTCTCTCTCTCTCTCTCAGTTATCTGCCAAGCAGTCCACGTTTTTCCTCAGAAACTCTGCCAACATCGCAGAGAATAAGCCCTCGATTCTCTCTCTCTCTCTCTCTCTCTCTCTCTCTCTCTCTTGTAAAGTACCTTTTTACTGCTGGCCTCTCCGCCACACTCCGCAGAAAAACACACATTTCTAAATAATGACTCCGGCCCGCCAAGATCTCTCCCAGTGCTGCCAGCTTTCCTTCAGAGAGACCGAGATCATATGGAAATATACTGTGGAGATTTCTAGGGACAAAGACAAGCGAGAGGTTAAAGGTCGAGACTACAGAAGTGGAAAATTAAGAAGTAGTGCGGCATTAATTCCAGAAGAGCTCGGTAAAGTGTGACAGTAACACACTTACAGAAACACCCTGAAATGCAGAGAAATCCAGCATGAGGCCTGTCTGAGCACATCACTTATTATGTCTAATATTTCAGTTCCTGACATGAACAAGTGAAGCTGGAAATACAGTCTGAGCAGATTAGGAAACCAGTTTAGGCCAGTTTATATGGGCTGGTTTGCACCGATCGCTGGAATCTGCAGCAGCATATACGTTTATCACAAATAAAGCATGATTAATGCTGCAAATGTTTACTCGTGTTTGCGCTGCTCTCTGCCAAAAATCTCCAAACTCTCATCCAACACTCGCGAAGCAGAAACAAACTCCCTAAACGCCACAGAAAGAGCTCATTGTGCGCTGATAGTGAAATATGGAGCCGGAGCCCGTCTGAAACGTTTTCCTGAAGCGGCCGAAGGATTTTCCCATTCCTGGCTCTCCAGCAGATCAGAGGCGTTTCATTGACACGTTCAGCAGACGGCGACGGAGGAAGCCATCATTCCTCATATTCTGATCTCATCATCCTTTAGGGTTTGTTCACTGTGTCAGCTTTAATAATCAGCTTTCCTTCTGGTTATTACAGCTCATTCTATGGAAGCTTGTTTCTGCCACAGGATAAAAACAGTAAAAAAGGCAAGTTTTTATCTCACAATTCTGACCTTTTTCTCAGAAGTGTGAGAAATACATGCAGAATTGTGAGAAGAAAATGTCAGAATTGTGAGATAAAAAGTTGAAATTACCTTGTTTTTTTATTATTATTATTATTAATATATGGTGGAAACAAAAAAAGTCAGAATTGTGAGATAAAAACAGAATTCTGGCTTTCTCACAATTGCAAGTTTATATCTCATAATTCAGACTTTTTTTCACAGAACCATGAAAAAAAAGAGAAAAAGAATTGAGATAAATTACCTTTTTTATCTCGCTTTTGTCTCGCTTTTTCAATAACAAGACTATTTATCCGTAACTATCAGTGCATGACAAAATGCTGTGACGTGTTTTAGTCTGATGTTGTCAGGGTTATTACAGTTTACTAAAACCAAAACCATGACCATAAAAAAGGGTTTTGAGGACATTTCAGACCAGTTAAAACCATTTTCTTCAGCAGTGAAAGAGGAAAAGAGTTCATTTTCGTACCTGATTGTGTAATAGAGCAGAACCGTGAGTCACAATTAACACATCTGATTGCATTTAAACCCGACTGCAGCAGATTTACTAGTAAAACCAGTGTAGAAAATGTGAAAAACGTCTGCAGATTGTGTCTGGGCCAAAACATCAGTCATGGTTTGACTGGCTTTCGGCGCTGCAGATCTGTTTCCTGCTCTTGGCAGATACAGGACAGTATTTATTGTCAAAAGTTCTCGCCAATGTCCAGAGCAAATCCCTGTCATTACAGCAGATCACGTGACCTCAGAGGAATGGACGACAGGCACCAGACGGGTTAACCAGAACACACACACACACAAAAGCATGCACGCGCACGCACACACACACACACACACACACAGACAGACAGACACACACACACACACACACACACACACACACACAGA